GGTCAGTGTGCATCTCCAAGTGCTGCTCTATTCATAGCCATCATTCTCTTGTGCAGATACTTATTTAAATAAAGATAACACACTCTTCTCTGGCATGTCCATACATAAATCTTCCCCCAAAAATGCTTGAATATGCACTCAGTGTTCACATGTCTCAAAAAGCTTTCTTTACCTTAAGTTCTGTTACTCTATTTTTCCTCCTGGAGCTATCCACTTACTTGCTGGTCCAACAAGCATGTGTGCTTGCAACAGAATGCTGACTGAGGCCACTGGGAGTCTTCAGCAGGCCACTGCTTTCCTAAACGGATACCACAGCACTGTAGTACCAGTTATGAGCTTCCACCAGCTCAACTCTCTTTCTATCCAGTCAACTCTCTATCAAGAGATAGAAAAGTAGTCCTCACTTTTTCTCTACCTTGGCTATACCTGCAGCCTTGTGTTTACACTGTACAAACTGACCCACCTTTTTGTTGCTCTTAAAGCGCACAGCAATAAAATTGAATAGCACGCTCACAGCTCTACATGCATCACACAAACTAGCTTACGGTTTTATCAGGAATAGAACAATAATTGTTCTGTCTCTTTACCAGATCCAACTCTGCAATCTAATAAATTCAGAAACAAAAAGTTCTTTGCAGCTTTCTTTTGTTAGAGATGATGAAAAAGCCCTCTCCCATTTCTATGATACATTCATCGTCAAGAGGGATCCAGGATTCTACGTATCTTTAATCCTCTCATTGCCTGCCCTACCAGAGCCCACCTGCCCCAACCTCAACAAGGACAGTCACACTCCAGTCAGCCTCCTTAATCATGCTGCTGTGGGTCAGCCCCGCTGCCTGATGCCACTCTCAGCCCTGAATCACCCCATTAAAGGCTAATCTGTCACACCATCACAACTGCTGCTCTCATTTTCAGAGTCCTTACCATGCTAACCCACTCCTACCTATCATCCCTCACCAAGTTAGTACCTGGTAAACTGTCACCTTCAGCCAGCCCCTGAAGCTGCACTCCATTACCCATTACTTTTTATTATCATTATGAAAATCTGAAGTCCACAACTCTTCAAAGCTCCTTGCTCTTAAGTTTTCCTTTGGAGTCACAAATGCAAATTTCTGTCAACACCAAATTACTATGCTTTCACAGCCTGATTTGCAAAAATGTAAATGTGATAATTAGTAACAGAGGTCACCTATCACTGTTGTTAGCTTTCTTCCACTTGTTTTGTGCAAGCATCTGAAATGTGAATTCATGCATTTGGTTATTTGAAACCATAGACATTATTTTGTTACACTGGGGTCTTTCTGTTATTCTCTCTCCAACAAGGTTCCTGGTAGCCCACTTCCCTTCACAGAAAGCCACCCAAACTTCCAGTGCTTCAGCATAAGCCACAACTGGAAGCCTTCCAGTTACTCTTATGCACTAGAAATGATAGAAAGCTTGGCATGACTGAGCCTAAACTTTTTCGCTTTTACTGATGAGCACAGCAAGCAACAGAGATGAAGCATTAACCCACCAAGGCTCTTCTCTGCTGTCTAGAGCCATTTTCTTCCTAGTTTGACTTCTGCCATAACTAGATACAGACCTTTAAAATCTAGCAAGAAACAGTGAGGTTTAACCCATTGACCCTTACTATCTTTAAGTACAAATGTTTCTGAATACTCTTCTGGATGCAGACCATAATTATTAATTCTAGAAGTGGGATTTATTTCAGCAGTATTCATAGCAGCACCTATTTTGAAATTCAAATAGCAACCATAGCTATTCCTGTCTATTATCTTTCAAAAGGATTGACCAAATTAGAAGGAAAACATCAGGACATTCATTTTGTTCCGAAAAGCCTGCATATTTTTCCTCATCATTCTTCAAGAGACTGGTAGATGAGAACGTCTTGATGCACACAACCTCAATTTGCATTTATTAGCCTTATAATTTCCACCCTGCCTTCCAGTAGCTGGGCACACAAAGAAGAACGTGAAAATCACTAAAACTGCCAACACTGTGTAAGCTATTCCTCTCTAGCATGTCTCACCCTGAGCTCTCCAAGTCCCATGAAAGCCACCACGTAGTCAGCTTCTCTGTGATCTTTCTGGTTCAAAGCAGGAATACCCCCTGCACCCTCACTCTGAACGCCTGGCAGCTGTCCCAGAGAAAACCTGCATGGTACTTAGCGCTGACAAAGCCAGCAGCAGCCTCCCTCTGTGCCTCCTCCTACAGGGCCGAAGCACAGCGCAGACAAGACCCGCCGCCATCACATGCAGCAAAGAAGGCTGAGGAGCACTGCCTGTGCACAGGCCTCAGCAGCTGAAACTTGGTCTCTCCAAGCTTCTTCATCCCCAGAGTTGTCTCCTAGAGTAGAGGGAAAACAACCAGCGCCATTTGTAAGCACTGCTCCTCAAGGAGAGGACTCGAGGGAGTCAAACCACATGCTTACATCAAACATTTAAACTTGTTCTGAAGTTGGTTTTGATTGTAGCTGACACTTTGCTAGATGCCACCGTTTGTTCACTTCGTGTCAATTGCAAGTAAAACACAGGAGAAAAAAAAAGTGCACTAGGTAAAATACTGTCTGTGCTTTATCTCCAATTTCATCTGGGGCTTTCGTAAGCAATCTATATTTCTGTGGTATTGAGATGTCAGACAGTTACAATGATTCATACGAAGATGACCACAGAGAACTGCTCATTTTTTGCACATTCAGGTTTGTTCCTTTCCTCACTCCAGATCTGACAGACGGTATGGCTTGCAACACACTGTGAAAACATCACTTCATCAGTGTCCCTAAAGCAAACTCTATGACACGGCCGTATTTGCTCTCAAATTAGCCTGAGCTCTGCTGACAGGCGTGACTGATCACATCGTTCCCTGCAGCCCTGAACAAAGCCCGAATGTTCGCTACCCAAAGGCGCCATTCTTTGGGGACTCCTTTATTTGCCCACACAGGATTCTCTTGTGCACAGACACAGAAACCAACAGCCAACATTGGATTCTGTGAATCATCCAAACCTATGCACAGACCTACAGTCATACATTTTTTATGCAGTAACAAAACAGTTTCACAGCTCGGAGCGTTAACCCACAGAACCCCTACTGCTCCCACTAATCTCCTGACACAGCTACTCAAGCCCTACTTGCCCAAGATACAAAGGCAGGAAAACAATGATGAGGAACCCTTCCTTATCCTCACTCACTGAGGATTCAGTCAGGTAATGTAAATGCTCAGATGAAAATGAACGATTGGGTGATGCTTCCTTTCTGAATTCTTTTTTTCTTCTGGTTAGCCAAAAACTAATTGGTTAAAAAATAATAAGATAACCAAGTATTAACAGACTCCATTGGAAAAATCAAGATTTGAAAACTGTTCTCTGGTTTTGGTTTGTGACAGGAGTTCAGTATCAAGGCTGTTCTCCTGCCCTCCATATCAGTGAAACTCATCTTTGTTTCCTACCTCAAGGACATTTAATTCATTTTCTGGGTATCTTTAGTTGGAATTTCAAGCACTGCACATTAGCCAGAAAACTGATTCACAAGAAATGGGTTAGGAAACGTACCACTGAATTCTACATAATCAGTATTTCTCTTTAAGATAACTTTAATTTGTATCTCAAGAGTAAAATTAATGTGTCCAGACAGACAGCTGTAGGGCCCATGCTGCTGCATAGGGCTTGTCAGCCATATCACCAGGGTAATACTCCTTATGTTCTCGCTGCAACTAAGCAGAAGGCATGAGTGTTAAAGACAGTATCCATTTGAGAGGCTTGAGCTGAAATTGGGTCACAACACTCACTAATAATCACCGAAGGACACTGCAGGGAGCAGTGAAGAAAAGAAATGGAGCAGCTCAAAAAATACCAAAAAGAAGCAGGCTAGCTATCAGCTCATCAATATAACACATCATCAACATTCACCGTATCATCCAAGTGATGGTTTCCAATAGAAACCTGTACAGGCTCCACAAACCAACAAATAAAAGCCGCTTGACCGGAACCACACTGGTTTTGTGCTGTTGACAGTTACTCCTGCAAACACACTGAATCCTTTGTACAAGCACAAAGGCTGAGCAATGCATTGCCCCAATGTGCTCAAAGCTACAGATGCGGGGGAGATGGGGGCAGTAGGCCAGGAGGAATGTTGCTGCCCTGCAGATTAAGGCAGGAGTGGGATCACCCAGCAGTGGACAGCTGGCAGCAGGCTCCCTCCTGCCTCCTCCCTGGGAGAAGCCTGAACTTCACACCCTGATGCACCCAACAGCTTCCTACAGGCCTTTAACATGTACTATACGAGTCGCCAAATAGTAAGGGAAAAGGGAAAGAAATATAAAGGGTAATTTAAAAAAGGAAAGAAAAAAAAAACAACCATATTAAATCAATTCATTTCCTACAGCTGAATAGAGAGGAGGAATCTGATAACATCTCAGAACACTGTAAGTAAAGCAGCACGCAGCATGCAGTACTTTGCGTTCTTGTGACATGCTGGGTATTCCCTGGCACCTCTGGGTGCTGGGCCGGCATTCTATTAACATTACAATAACCTGGTTTTTAAATTAAAAAGCACATCAGGTCACATTTGAATGGAAATCAACTATCAGGCTCGTTTAACTCATGGTAGGAGATCAGGGCCCCTGTTCCATTCTGTGCGTTCTGACGTTCGCACATACAGCCAGCTCCAGACCAGATTACCGTGAATCTCTGCAGAGACTTCAGCCAGACACCCCATCAAAAGGCCCCATTACGAGCAACACCCAGCATAATTCACACGCTCCCATTTTGCGCTCCGCAGCTCCGACACCTCTATCTATCTCGGGAAACCCGGCGCCGGTGAACGTCGGCGGATCGCCTCTCGAGCGACGGCAGACTGCGTCCCCGCGCCAGCCAGCTCGACTTTCTTTTCGGAAAGCATGCTTTATGCGCAACCACGTCTACAGGCAGCCCGGCCCGCGGAGCAGCCCGGTCACCAGCGCTGCACGCAGCGCCCCGGCAGGACCCCCGTCCCCGCGGCCTTACCTGCGGCGGGCGACGCGCGGAGGGGCTCGGCCTGCTGCAGGGTGACGGCCCCGTCCCGCCACACGCGGAGGTGGGCGGCCGCCCCCAGCCTGCCCGCGGGGCTCTCCCGGCGGCGGGCCCGCAGCCAGGCGCAGCACTGGTAGCAGACGGCCCACGCCTGCTCCTCGTTGATGGGCTGGTTGTAGAGCCGGAGGATCTCCTCCAGCGACAGTGCCTCCGGCTGCCCGCCGGCCCCGCCGTCCTCCTCCTCGTCGGCGGCGGCGGAGGAGCGGGAGGCGCCGGGCTGGGACTCCGCGCCGCGCTCCCCCGGCAGCGCCATGCCCCGCTCCGCAGCCCGGGCTGCTCGCGCTGCTCCTCGGCTCAGGCCCGGCCGCTGCCGCTCGCGGTGTCGCTGCCGCTGCTTGTGGTGCCGCCGCGCGGTCCCGCCGTGCTCATCCTCCCCGCTCCACCAGTGGCGGCAGGCCGCCGGACAGCCCGGCCCAGGCGGGCGGGCGGGCGGGCAGCGGCCGGCCGGCGGGAGGAGCGGCGCCCGCCGCTGCCGCCGCCGCAGGGGGCACAGCTCATAGCAACGCAATGGCGTCCTCGCCCGCCCCCGCCGCCAGCAGCCACCGCTCGGCGCCGCAGCGCCCCCTGCCGGCCGGGCCCTGCTCGCCGCGTCAGGCACAGACGAACCTGAGCCGTGGGGCCGCGGGATCCGCGCAGCCCCGGCGACAAACCCCCCTCCAACATTTAGCAACCGTGCGATCCTACGGCGCCATTAGTCGGGTTTACAGGGAGCGTCGGCGAACTGAGCGCTGCGATCGAGCTGAGGGAGAGCCGCGGCTCCCTCGCTGTACCCGCAGCCGGAGTCACGCAGCTCCTTGCGCGGAAAGAGCAGGGTCGGCCAACAGCACCGGAGCCCGCGGGGCGGTCCGCAAGCACACAAAGGCCTGAGAGCACCTTTATGTGCGCTGCACACAGCCGGAGCGGTCTGCCACGCGTGAGGGAGCTGACAGGGCTGGGCCTGAGTGGAAGGCCATCAAAGATGACAAAGTGCCTGGAGCAGCTCCTGTGTGAGAAAGGGCCGAGTAACCCGGGCCCATTCAGCCTGGGGGAACACTGAGGGGATTTGTTCAATGTTTATGAATATCTAAAGAGAGATGGGTGGCGAATGGATGAGGCTGGGCTCTTAGCTGTGGTGATAAGACAAGGAATAGTGGCCTACAACTTGAACATAGGAAATTCTGTATCAACATGCAGAAGAACTTCTTCAAGGGTGGCAGAGCACGGGAACAGGTTGCCCAGAGAGGCTGTGGAGCCTCCTTCTATGGAGATAGTCAAGGCTCATCTGTACATCTGTAATTTTACCCAGCTACAGTTTTACCAAAGGCATTAAACATTCCCCCTCCGTATCCCCTTCCTAAGAGATATGAGGCTGGTAACTTACACAACAGTATTTTGCAGTGCCCCCATCTGTACAAACAGAGTAGTGCACAGCGGGCAGGCAAGATAGAGCCTGGACCAAAGGAGCCACACACTAGTCCCTATTTTGCTTTTAACTGTACTGAACATACTTTTTGCCATCTTTTATTTTTACACATGCATATAAGGGATACCACTGTAACTGAAACACAACCAGCATCGAAGCAAGATATTGCATTAGTCCTATCCCACATCCAACGCAACCCAGCCTTCCAACATGTACTAGATACAATGAAATCAAGGGAGAAATTGTATTTATTTGCCTGTTACACATCTTGACATTGTTATTTAGTGGTCCACAGGTGCAGTGTGTGTTGCAAGCTTCTCAAGCATTAACCATGACTTTTCAGTTCAGCACCAACTGAGTTCTCTGCCAAGCAGAAAAAAAGAAGGTGGACACAGGAAATCAAAGGCAAGAAGTAGCTTCTACAGAAGCAGCTGACTTGTTTCAATTTAGCCCCAAAAAGCAATAGCTAGAGTTCCCACGGTAAAAAGAATGAAAGGGAGGGGCCAGTTGCCATTTCTCAAAGCATAAAGGCTAGAAGATAACCATAAAAATCACCCATGTGTTTAAGACCATCAATACCACAGACAGATAATTAAGTATGGATGGGAGTATGAAAATCTGACAAAATCAGGACTAGTTATTAACCAAAACAACTTCTAACTCAAAAGCCTAAGTTTGACTGTCAAAAACCATAGAGTTGTTTAGAGAACAACCTCTACAGGTTTGGGTTTTGTCCTTCCAGTCATCTACTACCTTGTCAGGAAAAAGGGATGAGGTCAGACAGACATTAACCAAACCCAGCACAGCTATTAAGGTATCCAGGCGTCCAAGTCTGGTTTTTAAACAAAAAGCCATCATAATTTGTTGCATTCACAGGGTAACAGCACTACCTATGTCTGACTGACCTTAGAAACTATCATTAACCCCAAAAGAGGGAGAAATAAATTCCCATTATGGGAAGGAAGCATAAATGAACTTCAGTAAGTCCGGCTCTCACTCATTCATAAAGAATACCCTGGACACCACTGACACGGAGATAAAACAGACTGTTTTCTAAATTAGTTCTCACATTAATTCAGAACTGTGAAAGAGAAACCAATATTGTTCATATGCACTTTAATAACTTGACCAACATTCCTGCAAGTATTAAAAGTAGCTTTTATTAAAATAGAAGTTCTTCGTATAAATATAATCATTACTGTGTACACAATTCATTTTGCTACAAACACACCACCATATTCAAAAATCAGTGGCATTATATAAAGTACAATATTTGTTCAGCTGCATAATTTCATATGCAAGTACCTTATTTTGCACATCTAGAGAGGTATGAATTATTTTGCTTTTCAGAGGACAGAGCGATATTTACAAGCAAACATGATCCAAACAGCACATGCAGATTCAGGGTAAGCAAACACACGTACACGAACAGCAAGTCGCACCTGGTCACCCCTACAACAGATTATTTCTTCACAAAAAGGAGACCTGTGACAGAAAACAAGAACAACAAATATCACCAAGCTGTTCATTAAATTTTCAGTTACACAATTATTTGAAACTTGCTTGACAACTATCTAGGAGCATCCAAATAAGGCTAAACCAAATAAGAAATACTGTTTTGTAGTGGAATGGCTGTTGTGTTGAGAAGAACAAGATTACATTGGCTACTTTTAACAACGGCAAGAAAATTAAGATAACTGTATTTCAGGGAAAAAATATTTTCCCTGAATTTTCCCTCATATTTTAATTTAATCCATTAGAAGTCTATCACCACTGAACTTGCCCAACTCAACACAAAAGCTGTACACTGTGACCTATTCATTATCTATGCCACACACTCCTATCAGTTCTAACTTCAGGAAATTGGTTTTCTTTAATACTTCACTACCAAAAAAAGCCACAATTCATATTTAAGCATTACTACTTGGTATTTGTACATACTCAGTCTTACCGAAGACAAGTGGCAAATGCTCTCCTGGCATTTCTGTATACAAAATGGATTGGAAACCCTTTAAATGTGTGACCATCAGGTACTGCTCTTCTTACAGCATCCTGAAACTCCTCGTTTCCTGCAGAAATACCTGTTGCACGTTCAAGCTCATAGGCTGCTAATGCCGGTGACAGTAGATAGGATAGATGGTCATCCCAAACAGTAGAAAGGCCAAGATCCTGTGAAGCAAATTACAGCACGATGACAACCATGCAGAGAAAAAAAAGTGAGGATATTATTAAGTTTGGATACTGTATAGATTCAGATAAATCTATGAACAATCTTTGACTTGCAATTCATGGAAGTGAATCTGTGAAGCAGTAAGATACACATACTGATACACACACCAAACCAGAAGGATCAAGAATCAAACACTAAAAACAAAATACCAAACATTTACCAAGAAATTAAGTCAGACTAGATTAAAACAAGACTAGCAGAGCTGAAACTGGATGTTTTGGCTACAATATATTTGAAAGAAGTGTAAGATCACAGTGCTAGCTCATAAAGAAACAGCAGAAATACAGAAAGGATCAACTAAAATTCACTTCATGTTTTTCTAATGTCTCTTGGAAGTTCACTTCAAGAAACAATGGAAGAATTCCCAAAAGAATGAATGCATGCGCACACACACGCGCTTTCCTTCTCCCATTCCACAAGTGCAAACAAGTAGAAAAATCTACCACTTCCATAGCTGATGAGATTCATACTCTGAGAATTATTTGCCACACTAAGTTTGAGCTTTAGGTAGTAAGAGAACGATTAAAAAAAGATAGTAAGGGAGGGGTAGGTGGGGAGGGAGGTGGTTGTAAGGTTGTGAGGGAGTGAGAGAGAGGGAGAGAAATCCTGACTAAGGAAGAAACTAACTTCCAGAAATACCTGCTGATTTTCTAAAGCATTCAGATTATAACTGTGACAGCTGAAATCCTGCTTCTAATGAGAAACAAATAAGATTGTGATGGATACACTCAGCTCACTAACAAACAGACTTTATCTTCTTAGTTCTTTCATAGAGCACATATAAATTGCCTGTAGATGCCTGTAAGCTAAAAAATCATGCTTCTCAAAACAGAGCCAATGGCAGGGTGGGAGGAATAAGACCACAAGACTGCAGAACTGCTACTGCAAATACTAAGTGTGACCGCTAAACTAGCTCTGTACAGTCATCAAGTGTTTTTTTCCAGTTGCTTCAATTTTAAACACACCACATTTCTGCAAAAGTTGATAGAGAACACATTGCAAAGATCTAAGTATTTTCATTACAAGCAGCTGTTCAAAACAAGCACACAGTAAAAACGTGATCTGTTCAGGTAATAAAGGCGCAATGACAGTTTTTAAAGATTACCTTCCTGTGTTCTGAGACAAGCATTCTCAGTTGCAATTCTAAATCGTTGCTCGTCACTGCTGCATCTATCACAGAAGCACACAAAGGAGGAAAAGGGGGAACTGAAGATGCGGTTCCGGGAGAACAAACTGATTTTATTGCTTCTGCGCTCATGGGCTTCCATTTAGACTCATCGTGTAAGTCGAACACACAGACCTCCACTGCATCAGAGGGCTGACAGTTTCCATAGAACTTCTGATGATTGAAGACACAACCTATCGTGCGATAAGGATACAACGGCTTGGGCTGTTCAACTATTGGAGGGTCATCAGGGTTGACAGGTCTGTGAACGTACCTGATTAAAAACATCCAAATTTTTATTAATAATCTCTGTATTTTAAGTCAGGCTAAAAATATTTCAGTAGGACAGAAGTCATTTCTCCTTTTAAAAACATAACCCAGATTTGTTGTTATCATCCTCCCCCCCCACCCTCACCGAGATAGCATTCTTGATTTACAGGAAAGTAATTATACACA